CCCTGAGTTAGGAGTTCACACCTGCTAAGACGGTTCAAAACAACACAAATCTGGGGGACCAATAGGTGGTGCAGTGGTTAAGGACACACCGACTCCCACACCGTCCACAGCAGTTCAAGTCCCGGACCTGGCGGATTGCTTTCTCACTTTCTCTTTCTCGCTGGCTCTGTCCGGCTCTGCTCAAATTAAAATAAATAAATACATACATGCAATAATTCTAAAATAACACAAATCTGAGTGGAAAAGGAAAAGAACAAAGAAGCCTTCATGAAGATGTAGAGAAATTGGGCCCTCATGCTGTTGGTGGGATTGTAAAAGGGGGCGTGCAACAGTGAAGCTCAGAGTTACCCCACAACATACCGATGAGACTCCTGGGGTCCACCCAAGAGAAATGGGAACACGATCACACAAAAACGTGTGCAGAGAAGCAAAGAGTGGCCCCAGACAGGAAGGCCATGCCACAACCCTTTCCCCACTCTCCTCTCGGGACCTGGGGCATGTCCACACACGGGCTGGCGTGGTTTCCAAGCTGGGTCCAGAGCTCAAAACGCGCAGTTCACTTTTTTCAGCTATTGCGGTGTGCCCAGGATCCAAGAGAGAGGAGAAGAGATCGTGGCATGGCCGTCCCCTCTGGGGGATAATTTCTCACTTTCTCTCTCAGGTGAGTCCATATGCCCCTATAGCAAACGAAAAAAAAATCAGTTTTCAAAGGACCCGCCTTAGTATTGAGGCATCGGGTCCCACATGGCTGAACACAGTTGGAATTCCAGCCCAGCCGCTTGAGAGACTCCTGGTGTGTGTGCGCGTGCGTCCCAGATCCGAACAGGACCTGGAGATGGAGAAGGGGCTGGGGCAAGACGGCCCCACTGGGGGCTGCTTGCCCCCCCTCTCCGGCTCTGGTGAGTGCAGGAGCCCTCCAACAATTACAAAAAGGAGGCGGGGTAGAATTAAAAGCAGAGGAAGACTCTGACACAGAGACTCAGACAGGGGGACGAAGCCTGTGTGACAGAGGTAGAGAGTGGGGTGACGAGGCCAGCGCCAGAGGCTGGAAGAGGCCCAGAGGACCCTCTCCTGGAGGATCCAGAGGGAGCGGGCCCTGCCGCCCCTGACGTCAGCCTCTGGGCTCGAGGGCTCCCTGTGAAGAGGTACCCCAGAGCAGGTGCCCAGGTCCCACCTTGGCACAGCCTCCCCACCTGATACCAGCTGGCTTCCACAGCCCTGCTTTCGGGCGTGGCTTCATATCTGCTTCCTGCACCCAGGCCTATCCCCTCCCTTCCCCCAGCATCCGTGGGGGGGCCCACACCTAGCACCCTGCCCTGCAGCCTTCCAGATTCGGTGTGGCCCTGACTCAGGGGAAGGAAACCCTCTGTAAACATCCCACGAGCCACGGACATGACCACGGTGCAGTCGTGGGAGGCCGGTTATCTGGGGGCAGCTTTCAAACACATAGGGAGGCGAGAGGATAAAAATAAAAATAATCAGGAAGTCTGTCCCAGGGCCATGCCTGGCACACAGGCGCCCAATAAATACCCACGTGACGAATGTTCACGTGACGTAGACCAGAAGCTGCCCAACCAAAGTGGCCTCTTGGATACGCCAGTGTTTTCATGTTTTTCATTACTTGCTTGCACTTAAAAACACTTAGGGACTAGCAGATGGTGTAATGGTTACATTGCTGGACTCCTGGTAGTTAACCGTGGCTCGAGTCCCGGACCCGGTGGCTTAAACTCACGCCGGGCACGTGTGCGTGTGTGCCCAACATCCCGAGAGGAGAATGGAGGAGAAGGGATTGTGGCGTGGTCATCCCCCCTGGGGGGTGATTTCTCGCTTTCTGTCTCTCTATCTCTGTCTTTCTGGCGAGCACACGCGCCCTATAGCAAAAGGAAGAAAATCACATCGGTGTAGGTGCGTGCAAGCCCAAAATCCCAAGAGGAGGATGGAGGAGAAGGGACTGCGGCATCGCCGTCTCCCTGGCAGTGGAGGGGGCTTCCTCACTTTCCCTCTGTCAGTCTCTCTCTTTCTGGCAAGTGCAGAAAAACTACAAGAAAAACCCTGTGCTGGGCCTCGTGGTGGCATACCGGTAAAATGTGTTGCTTGCAAGGCTGCCTACATGGGGAGGCTGCTGGTTCGAGTCTAGAGTCCTCCCTGAGGACACACACACACACATGTGCCCACGATCCAGGGCTGGGTGAGGTTGGGTGTGGATCGCGACATCAAGATCCCACTGAGCTGGGCATGGTAGCATGTGCCTGTCATCCCCTACTCCAGAGGCTGAGAGAGGAGGATCGTGAGTTCGAAGTCAGCCTGAACAACATAAACAGCAGAACTTTCTCTAGAAAAACAAACGCTGAAGAGGCCTTGCTGGGGTGCTGTCTCTCTGTCTCCCTCTCCTGGTCTTTCACTTGTGGAAGAAATAAATAAACTTAAAACCCTGTATTCATTGGTGATAAGACTCTCTCAAATTCCACATGCCATCCATTCATTTACCTCACCTTTGAAATTCCTTCAGAGGGCTAGCAGGTAGCGTGGTGAAGGTACTGGACTTCTACATGGCCAACCATGGTTCGAGTCCTGGACCTGACAGCTTGCTTTCCCTCTCTCTCTCTCTCTCTGGTGAACGCACACACCCTGTGGCAAATTTTTTTTCTTTTTTTTTGAGAGGTTTTTGCTATAGGGCGCGTGCGCTCGCCAGACAGAGAGACAGAAAGCAAGAAATCACCCCCCAGGGGGGATGGTCACGCCGCAATCCCTTCTCCGCCATTCTCCTCTCGGGATCTTGGGCACGTACACACACACGCCCGGCGTGAGTTTTAAGCCACTGGGTCCGGGACGTGAATTGCGGTCGACTACGTGGGAGTCCAGTGACGCAGCCATTACGCTAACTGCTGGTCCCACCTATAGCAAATTTTAAAAAACTGATGAAGAAATTAAATGAATAGGTATTAAAAAGAGCAAATTTCTCTAGAATCAGACTACTGCTGGTCTCTGCTTCTGCTCTCCTCCGTCATCTGTCTCCTACCCACCAGCTGGGAAGATACTTTTTTTTTTCTTTTCCAAGAATTAGTTATTGGGGAGCTGGCAGGTGGCATGGTGGTTAAGGCACCAGATTCCCACATGGCTGACCACGGTTCAAGTCCTGGACCTGTCAGCTTGCTTTCTCACTCTCTCTCTTTCTCTGTCTCTCTCTGGTCAAATTGAAGAAAGATAATAAACAAATAAAATCAAATAAATCTTTTTTTAAAAAAAAGAATTAGTTGGGACCAGCAGTTAGCGTAATGGCTATGTCACTGGCCTCCCATGTAGTCGACGGCGGTTCAAGTCCCGGACCCAGTGGCTTACACTCACACCGGGTGCATGTGCGTGCATGCCCAAGATCCCGAGAGGAGGATGGAGGAGAAGGCATTGGGTCATCCCCCCTGGGGGGTGACTTCTCACTTTCTGTCTATCTGTCTCTGTCTGTCTGGCGAGCGCACGCGCCCTATAGCAGAAAAAACCTCTCAAACCAACAAACAAACAAAAAAAGAATTAGTTATTGGGACCAGCAGATGGCATAATGGTTACAACGCTGGACTCCCACGTAGTCGACCTCGGTTCAAGTGCCAGACCTGGCGGCTTAAAATATGCTCTGTGTGTGTGTGTGTGTGTGTGTGTGTGTTTGGCCAAAATCCCGGGGAGAGGATGGAGAAGGGATTGTGGCATGGCCATCCCCCAGGGGGTGATTTCTTGCTTTGTCTGTCTGTCTCTCCAGCGAGTGCACGTGCTCTATAGCAAAAATCTCTCTTTAAAAAAAAAAAAGTACTTATTTAAGTTTTATTGTTATTATTTAAATTTGCCACAGGGCACGTGCACTCTCCAGACAGGGGAAGTGAGAAAGCAAGCGCGGTCAGCCATGTGGGAGTCCAGCGCCGCCATCATGCCACCTGCCTGCCCCGCCCTGGGACGATCCACCTAGATCGGGGCCTGCCATCCACCCCGCTCAGGACATGTCGCGGCTTCTCGGTTTTTCCGAGCAGAGGACAACCTCTCGTTCCCACAGACATCCTCAGGGATCCCTCCCTCACCTTTCAGATCTTTGGCCCACTGTCCCCACCCCGGACCCCGGCCACCCTCCCCACACTGCGCACCCACACTATCCCGTGTTTGGCTCTTGTGTTTTCCTAATAGCATGTGTCAGCATCTGGCATGGATTTGTGCCCCTCAGACGAGACTGAGTTTAGTGAGGGCGAAGGCGGCAGGCTGCTGGTCTTCTAAACGGATGAATGAATGAACTAGGATGGATCACTTCCCTTTTTAATCTCTCCTTTCCCTGCCCTGGGGAAGCTGAGCTCACCGGCCACGCCCCTGGAGCCTGACCACGCCCCCTGGAACCTGGCCACGCCCGGGACGCTGCGCATGCTCTGTCGCTAGTGGGCCCCGCTCTCAGCGATTCGGCCTAAACCATTTGCAGAGACGGTGCAGGGGGGATGCCGTGAGGAGTCTGTCCCAGAGGAGGGGAGAAGCTGACCTCGCCCTTCCCCGAGGAATGTCTCCGCACTAGTACAGTAGCAAGAGTGTGCGCTACGGCATCGGTGCCGATTCGGGCTCCCAAGCTCCCTCCACCTCGGGGGCCTTTGGCTGGATCCCCCCACAACGCTGCATTGGTGTCGCCCGGCCGGGTCACGTGGGCAGGAAGATG